TTGGACATCATTGGTTGGCATCAACCTCATGTCAATCTTCTGTTGGGTGTTCATTGGTCCACCGGTGGGCGGTGGGCTTGACACATGGGCGTTGGGAGCCGAAAGAATCAGCGACTGAGGGGAGACCGCAATTACTTAGGCGACTTAGGCGACATGTCAAGCATCTGCATCGCAGTGACTTTGCCAAAGATGTATCATCCATTATATATATATATATGTAAAGTCATAAAGAACAGCCCCAAGATTATGGGGGGATAAATTTATGTCTTTAATGAAGAAAAGCCCCCCATGCGGAGATGTAGAACAATCCTGGTATAGTAGTTCTTTCTTGATTAGCAGTCATGACTCAGAAGAAGGGACATCGGCTCCCAAGGAACAACAGTCGAAAGTGCGCCGGTCTTGATTGGTACGACAGGCGCGGACCGCGGACCTTTGTGGGGCATTCCCGGGGCCGAAGCCGAGCCAGAGCCACCGAACGAAGCAAAGAAAGCCCTGAGAAGGTTGTGTGTTTCTTGCAGTCGAAGATGCCCAGGGTAGGCACCACATGGTACCACTCGTCGGTCTGATTCTTCAAATCTTGGAACCTGCGGGTGTTGCACGACCACCCTTCGAGTTCTGTGGCGCACTCCCGCGGTGCACTCTCCGCCCCAACCCAATTGAGCTCACCCTGGCTCACCGGGTTCACCCGTCGGCGCTGCGCAAAAATCCTCAACCAAGAGAGGTTAAGTGACCGGACCTTACTGGGTCCCATAGGTCTAGTTCGGGTCCTTCAACCTCTGGAAGGTCACCACCATTCGAAAAATCCGGTTTTCGGGTGCGGAAAATCACGGACCGGACCCATAGGAGATAAATCGGGCCCTCGGTCCGCTCGAAACGCGCGCGGGCCTCGGCCTCCGTGAAACGGGCGCGCAGGGACAGCTGGATCCTCCAAAAGCTGGAGCCTCTCGTGGCCGTGCGCCACAAGGGTGCCACGGTGGTGGTGAAAGGCCATCGGCGCCTCAAAGCGGCGGCGCCTTGGCGGAAGAAACGGAGGGTAAGGGTGGGCGCCTGGGACGGTCCGTGAGTGCCGGAGGTTGCTTGAAGGGACCATCGACAGGAACCACATAGCTATTGGAATGACAAGTAAAAGGTTCTAGATCTTCACTTAATGCCACTTCTGCGATTGAGAGTCATGGGGTGAGAGATGGAAGATGGTGGGAGTTGTTCAAAAGGCGTGACGAATTGACGAATGCGTCGGGGTCGTTGGGAAGTAATTATATTTATATACAGCAATATATAATCCCATAATAAGATGGACCATACAGCCTCAGCATCATATACATGGCCAACCATTCCCGCAGCGACTGGGTGTGCGAGGTGTTGGGTCTAATGAATTGGGCGCGAACCAATTGGGCGCCAACTTCCTGTTGGCGAGTGTTACAAGTCGAGCTAGGAACTCTAAAAGTAAGATTACGTAAGTAAGAACCCAGCCGCTTTAAGGTAATTATATGGTTTTGTGATATCTTTTTTGTTTTTCTAGGTTGGGGTGCGGGTGCATGCGGGTGCGGTTGCGGGTGGTACCTCCGTGTTCAGGAAACACCCATGGCTGGGAGCCCTATCAGATCGGTCGGACTCGGGGCATGGGACATGCCACATGGACTCGAAGCAGGAGCTGTTTTTGGACGAAACCAGGTGATTCTCAAGCAGCAGCTGCGAGCGAAGCTCTATGTGCGCTGCCGGGTCTTCAGCCTCGACGACGAGGCAGAGGAGACTCCTGCCACGGTGTTGGCGCTCTACGCGCTGAATCCTCAGGCGAACCTCGACGTCTTGATCAAAGGCATTTGAGGTGCCCGGGAGACGTCGAGCTTCGCGTCCGAAGCTGCGCACAAAGGAGTCGGAACACGAGGTCTACTGAAAGCCTTTGAGCGGGATCTTGGAGTCTTTGCGGCAGGTCCCATTCCCATGCGCTTGATTTTTAGCTGAACTCGAGTTTTGCGCCTTGGTCGGATTCTGGTGGTTCCATCATGTTCCATCATTCTGATCTTTGATGTGGGTTGTTGGGCTGACCTGTTCCCACACACGTATGGAGCGAAAACCTCCTTGAGGATCGGAGAGCAGGTGATGTGGACGACCCAGTCTTCAGAATTGCTGAACTACATGTTTCACATGTCAACAGCAATTCCTTGTGTGAACAAAAATGTCAACATGTCTGAATGTAGCAGACATGTCACGAGCGTTCCTTGTGACAGCCGAACCACCACTCTCGGACGGTTGGTGAGATGTAGCAGACACCCGCGGGGACGGCTCGCGCGGAGTCGGGTCCGGTGACGCAGGCGTGAGCGGCTGCGGCGGCGTGAGCCCATCCTAATCGGGGATGCGGCCACCAGGTGTTTCATGCACAAAAGAACTTTGAAAAAAAACGCAGTGGGAGGGTCAATCTCGGATGATTTCTGGAAGTGGATGGCACACCGATGTTGGATGATGGAGCATGGATGAACATGGTCCAAATACCCCCAAAAACGTGCCGAGAATGCACGGAACCATCGATTTGTTCGAGTGTTCATCTCCTGCGACCTGAGTACTTGATCCATTTCAGGACCTGAGTACTTCAGTGCAGACCCATTAGATAGGCGTGTGTCCTCTCCTTTTTTCGGGAACCCCAAGAAGGTTTCATCTATCATATCTATCTCCCCTTCTACTACAGTCAGCAGTTTTGGAACCCTGCGTTTCTTCTGGAACAACTTGCATTCCTTTCTGGGCACATGCTTTGCCAGGGAAACTTGCATACTGTAACCCGCGCGTGATACAAGTAGAGGAAAATGAAAGACTCTTCGCACGCCTGACAGGAACAGACGTAGTTATATATAGTTCATTTAAATTAGATTTTTAGTAGTTTGTGGATTTTTCCCCACCTGTCGGGTGAGGGTTGTTAGATGTTACGTCAGGCCCATCTCCTGCTTCTTCTCCTCCTCCGCCTCCTCCGCCGGACCTCAACCACGACCATCCGCGCCCAGTGTTCCCTGCCGGACCTCAACCCTGAGCTCCAGACCCAAGTGTTCCCTGCCAGACCTCAACCACAGCACACAACCACAAACACACAACCACGAACAGACAACCACAAACACACAACAACAAATACACAACAACAAACACACAACCACAACTACAAACACACAATCACAACCACTTCCAGTACACAAACACAATCACAAACACACAACCACAAACACAACCACAAACACACACCCACAAACACACAACCACGAACACAACCACGAACACACAACCACAAACTCACAACCACAAACACACAACCACGAACACACAACCACGAACACACAGGCACAAACACACAACAACAAACACACAACCACAACTACAAACACACAATCACATCCACTTCCAGTACACAAACACAATCACAAACACACAACTACAAACACAACCACAAACACACAAACACAACCACAAACACACAACAACAAACACACAACAACAAACACAACAACAAACACACAACCATCAACACACAACCACAACTACAAACACACAATCACAACCACTTCCAGCACACACACAATCACAAACACACAACCACAAACACACAACCACAAACACACAACCACAA